TCGCGAGGGGGACCAAAAAATTCACAAAACTGGTGTCTGGAATTATGCATGCGGCGCCCCACGTGCGCTCGCCAGCAGAGATGCGTCACAAGAAGAAGAGGTAGTGAGCTCCAGTCTCCGGAGAATCCGGAGTCCGATATCCGGATATCCAAGTCCGAGAATTGGGATCCCAAACCTTTCGATTCGCTAATTTTTTCAAATATTTTTTCAATGTGTGTGCTTGTGTGCAAACTCGAAATGATTCTCGACGGAATGGATTCAGGCAAAAGCAATTTGTCATGCAGGATAATTTTAAGATGATGTAAATATGAGATACGATTTCTGATTTCCCCTGTAAAAGATATTTGTAAATCGGATTAGCTTACAGTAGGAAATTGCTTGCATTGTACTGCTCTACGAATTATAAATGATATTTTGATTGCTTAATGGTTTTCTAGTGTAGCTTGGCTATATTGCTTTCTAAAAATATTATGTGATTATAAGGTATTCCCAGTCAATTGCCGGCGGTCAAGTAAAAGTGCGGCGTAACTGAAATAATTCATATCCCATAATAAATCATAGCTGGTATTCCATATATAATATCTATTCATCGAAAGGGGGCATTTCTTCCAGCTGTTCTACGTAATTCTTTTTGCTGGGCAAACACATTCCTTCTCCCGATTTGTGGGGCGTTCAAAGGGAGTTGCAAGTTGGCCGTTGAAGTGGCAAAGCGGATATGTCAGGCGGCACGAAACAATCCCATCAACCGCTCCGCTGCGTCCTTTGTGAAATGTGAGTTGCGAGTTGTGTATGGTGTGTGTGTGTGTGTTTGTGTGTGTTGTGTGCGGTGTGTGGTGTGTGCCTTTTGATTGCCACAACCTTGACGTGAAACGGAAATATTTGCCCAGCACTTTTCGTCTTTGGTTTTCTTTGTTCGGTTTCCATTTTCCGTTTCTGTTTTGTTTTCACGAAATTTTTTAATTGATTTGCCTTTGCCATTGTTTTGTTGTCGTTGTTGTTTTGGTTGTTGTTGTCGCCTTCACCGTGGCCATGACCAGTTAGCCGCAAAAACAACCGCTGCCCCCTTCCCCATCCCCATCCCCTTCCCCATTCCCTTCCCCATCCCCTTCCTCGCTCCCCACACACTTTCTCCGACTTTCCTTTTCCTTTGTGGAGCACACACGCACACGGCGCTCAAAAGAGTGAGTGAGTGAGTGTGTGTGTGTGTGTGTGTGTGTGTGTGTGTGAGTGAGTGCGGAGCGAGCGGAGAAAGGCCATCCATTTTGTTATTTTTAGCATGCAAATCGTTCTGTCAGCCTTCGGGGCAAATGACTTGGTCGAGTGGGTGCCTTCATCCGCCGACTTCCAGCTGGGCAAGATCCCCAGCTTCCCTGCCATGCAGTCCGCTGCACCCGAGGCTCCCCGTCGGATTTATTTGTTTTCCTGCCCCCCTCCCCCTCCCCCTCCCCCAAGTAAGCAGTTTCCTTTCAGCAGCCAACAGCCCTTTTCCCACGAGCTGTGGCAAACATTTGATCAATAATATTTTGGAGTAGCCCCCATCGGAGCGAACCGAAAACGCTTTCGCTATTCTCCTCACGTGCCGTGACTGCTTATTAGCCATGAAGGTTGCCGGCGCCAGCTGAGTTAAGTCGAGCTCACAGGCAGAGAAATCGGTTATGCGGTCCAGATACTATATAAAATGAATTAACCGGAAACAGTGCCCTTTGGGAAGGTTAGGAAAATCTTAACGAAAGGTGCTAACGATCCATAAATTCAATATACAAACTAAATAACTAGGGAAGAAATATTTAAACGAATCTTTTGGAATGCCAAAGCTCTTGAAATGTGTTTGATATACATGATAGATATCAGGATATTTATAAATATTACATATATATATAAATATTAATTTATTTGTTATAATATAAGACCTATTTATAAAATCTTGATTAACATTTAAATGCTTCATCTTCCCCAACTTTGTCCTATTTATGATTGTACTTTTTCGCTCAGTGGTTCAGCTTATGCCACACGATGGCCAGGCATGCAACCCAACGGGCAAGGCGCACCACTTAACCCCTTAACCCCTGACCGCCCAGCCACTTTGACACTGGGCCAGAGCAATTTGCATGGCAGCCACAGAAACAAGCAGCGAGTGTGGAGGGCACAAAGAGCCGGCCATGATCCATGGTCCAACGTTGCGTATGCGTCATATGCTCAGTGCTGCTCCCTTCGCCGACAAATTGCAGTCGCACATGCAACTCAATTCCATTCCCAGCACCCGGCAACAATTGTCCTTCGTCCTTGCAGACCTCCTGCTCTCCCCTTTTCCCCTTCTGGCCCCGATGAAGGGAAAATGATATTGGAATTCAAATTTGAATTTGATTCGGAAAATGAACGGGTGCTTGGATTTTATGAGCCATAAGTTGCAAGTGTTGGGTTTTGGATTCATGAATTCATACGAAATTAGGGAAATGATAATGCGCTTGTGGAACCACCTTAAACCCATTTAAATTGACAAATGCTTTTAATGGGAGAGCGGGGGTTTCCTTAGTTTTGAATACGAACCAGGAATACCCTCAATCTAACTCACTTTTAACCTCTTTTCGAGGTCGCGTTGGGAGTAATTTTCCAGTCAGCTGCTTTTTACACTGCCAGAAGCTGTAGAGGCATTTCCATATAGTGCGTTATCTTTTCAACTACATAGATGTGCACTTTAAAACATGTTACAAAAAACAAATACAACTAATAATATTTCATATGTGGAACTTTGAGAAAGCCTTTTTTATATATTAAAATGGTTGAGTAAAAAGGGTTTTTTTTTTGTTTAATATAATTAAAATGAATTTATTTTAATATACATATTTTTTCAGGCACACTTTAGCTAGTGCACCCACTGGCAATTAAAATCAATAAATATAATTAGGAGGAGAACGTGTTGTAGATTTTCCTATCTTAATGGCGGAGTTAGCCTTGGTTTTTCACTGTGCATTGTTGCTGCTGCACACACATTAACATTAATCGTCATGCAAACGCACACACACACACTTTCACACACGTGGCCACATAACACTCACACAGTGGAACAGTTACGAAACCGAGGCACCAGCAAAACAAACTACGAAAATGACGAACGCGACAACGACAACGACAACGACAACGACAACACAACGACAACACAGCGACAACACAGCGACAGCGACTGCGGCAACGACGACGACTCGAACCCGAATTGAAATGTTGCCCTCGGCTGTCAGACGGCCACTCACACTCATGCACACGCGTACGATTGTGGCCAATCGAATAGGAGCAGAGAACAACAAACAACACTTTTAATCCCACAAACTGTGTGTGCATTTTGGACCAATAAATGAGTTAGTATCGAATACATTTTCGACTAATTAATGATTGAGAATATGATGTATTTTGAACTTAAGAATGAGTTTTTATCAAGTAGAATTTGTTCTAAGAATGAATCAAATAAAACTAATCCATAAACTATTGTAAAACAAGTAGAGCAGCAATTCATATAGGGTATATAATTAATCATTTACACAAAGTAACATGTTATTTACAAAAAAGAAAACCACATAAAGGTTAAACAACATCGAAGCTGTGACGATTTTTTTCTTAATATTCCATATAGTTTTCCGAATTTAATGAGATTTAATTCGTAATTCAAGAGTCGTTAGAAAACTCTATTTTCCAAAAATCATGCTTGTCTGATGAAAACAACGATGTTATAATTTTATTTTCTGGTTTTCCATATAGATTTTTCTATCTATTCTATGGCAGCTATATGATAAAGTAGTTAGAAAACGGCATGGTAAAGTTTCAGCAAGATAGCTTTAAAACTGAGTGACTAGTTTACATAGAAACAGACAGACGTACAGACGTTCGTCAGATCGTGATGCTGATCAAGAATATATATACTTTATGGGGTCTGAGCTGTCCCCTTCACTGCGTTGCAAACTTCTGATTGAAATTATAATACCCTCTGCTCTGCAAGGGTATAATAAACTTTTCTTTATAGTTATTAGTTTAAGTTATTATTATATTGACCTAAAAACTAACAAGGTCTATGATTAATGCAGATTAGCATATTGTTTGTTGTTAATCATGATTAATATGATATATGTAATAGATTATCACTCAAAACTTGTTCGAGGTCAATGAAATTTTTTACCACTGATATTTTTGTATTTGAGCGGGTTAGATATCTTCAAAGATGTGTTTTAAATTACTTTCAAACTTTTTAAACGAATGGATCTGGCTGCCATCGCGAGGACCCTTGAAAGTATGCTACTATTTTGACCACGACTGTGCACTATCCACTCGTAACTCGGAGTTCACGAGCTTTTGGCCTTTGTTGTTTTTGTGAGTTGAGTTAAAGTCGGGTTGCCAGCATATGTGTGTGTTAGTGCTCATCCGCGTGTGTGTGAGTGCGCGAGTGAGTGTGTGTGAGTGAGTGTTGCCGCCATCTGCAGCATTTAGTTAAGTTAAGCAATGAAGTGAACCCAACTGAACCGAAACTGGCCGAAATTGAAACGACGACAACGACAGCGATGAGGAATCGTTGCCATGCCTCTGCTATATAGGATATACATATATACATATATATATATATATATATATATAACTATTTGTGCGACTGTGAGTGTGTGTGTGTGAGTGAGCGGTTCAAGTGGTGCTGCTGGCTTAGATTTCTGTTCATTTTTTTGTGATTTTTTTTTGGTGCTGTGTTCTGGCTTTTGGTTCTGGCTTTTTGGCGAATAGTTCGTCCCGGCCAGCCAGGAAGCCAGGAAGCCAGTTAACAGAGCCTCTCGCTCTCTCTCTCTCTCTCTCTCTGTCTCTCTCTGTTGCCTCTCTCTTCGCGTCCTGCTCTCTCCCTCTATTAAGTGTGTGTGGTGTATGGTGTATGGTGTATGGTGTGTGGTGTGTGTGCGTGTGGCAACTTCGCTGTTGCTAGTGGCTCTTGCTGCCACTGCCACTTCTGCCACTGCCACTGCCACTGCTGCTGCTGTTGGCTGTTGGCTTTTGGCTTTTGGCATTGTCAACAACGCGGCACAAAGTTCATACAATTGTGACACGCGGCGCGTTAAGCACGTGGCTCTGACTTTTGACTGATAACACGGCGCTGAGTTGCCCACCAATAAATGGGATAAATCAAGTGGACGTCCTGCTGCCGTTGGCCAATGCATTTTTTAAACATTTTTTTTGCGAGTGCCCATCGGTGTTTCCGCGTGTTTCGTGTGTGTTAGTGTGCAAATGGCGATGATAAGACCCAATGACCTGCTGACCCCCCAAGTGACTGTGATTTTTGTTCGAGTGCCGCGGTAGAAAAGTGCGTGAAAACTCCACCAGGGAAACTCAGCGATTAGCTAACGTCTGGCCATAACCATTTCGTATTGGCCATTTACCATTTACCAGCAACCGGAGCAGTGCATTCAACTCCACTTGGATGACATCCAAGAGCAGAAAATACATGAATTGTGACGGGCAGCGGAGGGGTTCTTGAAGAAGTTTAAACAAACAAACAGTCTAGCGTGATTGCAAAACGTATATATAATAAAATAAACCAAGTGGAATTATAAAACTTTGGCACAACACATAAGCAATAATAACAACCACTAAGCAAACTTTAATAAATATTTTTTTTAATAGAAATTCAAAGCACCCTAATAAAAAATGTTTATAATATAATACATCAACTTTATAAATCATCAAAGCAATCAATAAAAAGCAATGATTAACAAATGTTTTATTCAAAAGCGTGTGATACAAAACTAATTAAACCTAAATATAATAAAAATAACCTCTTTAGAAGTTAATCAGTGTTCAATATAATAAAAACCTTTCAATTCGATTGACCTCTTTCAAATAATTTTGCAACTTAGAGAATTTTTTTTAATTAGGGAATCAATGTTATTGAAAATCAATTTAAACACAATATAATTAAATAAAAAAAAATTTAAAAAGTGCAACTTATAAAAATAACAAACATAATTAAACACCGAAAGCAATTTGAAGCTTCGAAAAGCACCAAAAATAATTACTAAACAATTAAATATCAGCAAAGAGTCGAAAATGAGCCATAAACGATAATTTGGAGAGTATTCAGTCCCTGCAACATACCCACACAGCAACAATAAAAACAGCCACAGAAATGAGCAGCAACAATGGCAACGACCACTCGCAGCAGCAGCAGCAGCAGCAACCCCCAGATCCACGAGCAACAGCAGCTGCACCTGCAGCAGCAACAATTACCGTTAATACGGGGGCAAATGCAACTGGTTCCGGTTCCGGATCTGGACCCGGACCCGGATCCGGATCCGGATCGGGTTCGGGATCTTTACGACCTGCAACGGCACCCGCTCGCTCCAGCAGCAGCAGCAACAACAACAACAACAATGCAACAAGCAGCAGCACCAGCTTCTACAGGGTCAACCTGAGCCACACTAGCAACATCAACAGCAACATTAACTGCAACATCAACAACAACAGCAGCAACAGCAGCAGCAGCAATGCAAACCAAGCAAGCAACAACAACCACCATGAGAGCAACAGCAACACCACCGCCACCTTGGTGGTCAACACCAGCAGCACTTCAGCAGCAGCAGCAACATCAGCAGCAGGAGCAACATCAGCAGCAACTTCGACCTCGGCAGCAGCAGCAACTGCAACTGCAACGGCAAGTGCAACAGCAGCAGCAACATCAGCCACGAACAACAACCACATCTATGTGAATCCTCACAGCTACGACAGCAGCACCACCGGCAGCGTGAGTGGATCCACGGCGGTGATGCTGCCCCTGCCCCTCAGTCTGCCACTGAACCTGCAACACCAGCCACCTGCAGCAGCAGCGACAACAGTCGACGCGCAGCAGCAACATCCGCTGGGCGGCGGCAACACGGGTGCCATCAGTCGGATCGGAACACTAACTGGAACGGGCACCTCCACATCCACCACTCTGAGCACCCTGAACACATATCTCTTTCCCTGCGGCGCCGATTCGGCCAGCAGCTGCGATCTGGACAGCAACTTCAGCCAGATGCTCGGCGGAGGCAGCGAGGGCGGGGCCAGCAGCTCCCTGAGCCAAACAACAGCTCCAGTGGGATCAGGAGTGGCGGGGGGGAACGGGATCGGCAGCTGGACTCGGATTGGGGGTTCAGCTGGGACTGGGCTTCATCAACAGCCGGCGGCGCATTCGAAGGCTATTCGGCGTGGGTGAAATGGTACCGCCGGTGGCCACGCCCACTCCCTACGCAGCCGCCCTCCGGCGACGCAGTTCGCAGCTCGTTCCAATGACCAAGAAGCGGGAGAAGGAGTTGGAGGATCTCGAGCAGCAGCAGAGGATCGCCACGGTCGCATCGGCGAATGCCGCCTTTCTCGAGCGACGCGAGCAGCAGCAGCAGCAGCAGCAACAGCAACAGCAGCTGCAACAGCAACAACAACTGCAGCAACAGCAGCATCTGCAGTTCGCTTTCAATCCGCTGCAATTGGAGGGCGGTAAGAAAAAGAAGAAGAAGCCACCCGGACCGCCGGCGCACACGCGACAGCAATCGTCACGCGGCATGGAGGATCCCATGATGAACCGACCGAGGAAGAGCACTCCAGCTGGTGGAAAGAAGAAGGACAAGGCAGCCGAGAACCCCTATGAGAAGTACCCATCACCAAAATCCAAAAAGCACCCACCGCTCTTAAGCCTCACCTCTATAAAATTACCAAAATCAAGAAAAAAACGAAAAAAAAAACAAAAGAACAGAAAAAGAAATAGCAATTCAAGAGAAATTTATGCAGCAAAAGTGCTTTCTTGCTGATTGATTTGATTTACGCGCTGCCATTTGTTTGATTTTCTCGCTTGTAACGATTTGAATAAAACGATTAAGAATACCCGCAAATACATAGTTTTTCAATTAGTTTTGAGTACCGCTTTGCTTATCGCTTTTCAATGCTTTTTCGCCTTGTTGATTCTTGATTCTTGCCCTCAAGCACCTAAGGTCGTCAATTATATGTTATGCCCTTGTGAAAGGGTTCAAATACAGTACACTTTTTTTTAGACATCTTTCAGTGAATTGGTTAACTGGAAATCTCTTTTTGAATATCTATGTTTGAATACATGGTCCCAAGGTTTCTAAGAAATCTGAATCGTGTTTTGGAGCTATATATTAAGTTTCTACAAACACAATGCAAAAAAACTGATTGGGAAATTGATTACTTAAAAATAATTATTGGCATTCAATCAAAAATTGAACATGAAGCAAATAATTATTATTATAAAATAATCGCACATTGTCTAATGTACAACTTAAGTACTTAAAACTCCTAAATGTTGCCCTACAACTTAAGTTATTCTTGGATATATTATATAATTTGTTAATCACACTTATCGCCCAGCACCAGACACCTTCAACTTTCTTGTTGGTGAGCTCGGAAAATCCATTTTGCGATTACAGTGCTTTGCTGCTAATTGGGCGAAAGTGTCACATGGGTGTAATCTTGCTGGCTTGCTGGCGGAGATTTGTTCGCCGTCCCACAGGGCGTATGCGTAATGCCCGCAACAGAGGGAAACGGCGAGCAAACAAAAAATAAAAACGAGAGAAAAATCGCAACTTTTTGGCCTGGGGTCAGAGACAGAGCCAAGTTGCCGCCAAGTCAATGCCCGAAAGTCAGACACAGAAGCCGTAAACGATTCCAGAATCTATAACCGAATCTGAATCAACAGACAGTAGACGGCGCCAGCTCCAAACTCTGGCCAAAAAAAAAAAACCAGCGAAGAAGAAATAAGCTCTTTGCGAGCAAAAACAAGTGCTGAATGGTTTTTTGGGGAAAAGGGGAGGCGAGAAATAAATGCGTAGTCATCTGTGCGTCTAACTGGAGCCGGCATAAGTCAGTGTCCTATCCTGATCTCGCCAGCCGAGTCCCACCCCCAAATTATCCTGTCTGCCAGGGGAGATATTACGTATACGCCACCGTGGCTCCTGATGGCATTTCCGAAAAGCGTCGACGGTTAATTGCCCTAGGTCAGCACAAATCAAAGTTCAGTCTTAACTCAGAGCTCTGAGCTCGCCGATCTGCGGCAGCTGTTTCGGGCCTTTGGTTTCCCCCTTTTTGATGGGCTTTCTTTTTGGACTATTGTGTCATATATTTACCGCTTTTATGTAATGCCTTGGTTTTCTGGGTTTTCTGGCCTGGAATGGGGTGTGGAATTGCTTTAATGTGGCTTGCGTGTCGCTGTGAGCTGTGCCCTTTGTTGCTCTGTTTTTTGCTGCTAAAAAAGAATTTATGTCAATGCCAGAAGCGACAAACAACCAACAGCGAAACAGCAACAAGAGAACAATAACAGCGAGCGAATATTATAATGAAGGGTCGCCCGAAGGGGTGTAAAGGGGTGTAGAGGGGTGTAGATGGATGTAGAGGTGGAGGGGTGGAGGGGTAGAGGGGTAGAGGGGTAGAGAGGTGGGGCATGTCGAAATCGGGAGTACTGACTTGACCCCGAATATTACTCTGCAGTTTCAGTTAATTGGCAAGGCACACAGACACACTCACACTCACACACACACATGCGCCTGTTTCTGGTGCCTATCCCCCTTTGAGTGGCCAACACGTGGGCGACAAAAAAAGCCAACACTGCGAGAAAAAGTTCACAACTGATCATTGATTTTGATTGTTTGACTTATAGTTTTTTTTAAAGATGTTTAAAGGTGTTAGAATATGAGTTACCAAATAAATATAATTTAATAATGTAATTAAAAAGGTTTTTATGTATTATTTTTTTCAAGAATAAACTCTGAAATATTGTTCTGTTATTCCCGTATTATCCATTTTTTTCAAGCTTAGAACCAATATTTTCTATTCTTAAAAAACTGAATTATCTACCATATTCAATTATTTTTGAACAGACATTATATATTTTTGGTATAATTCTATTTTATGCCAGCAAAAATTTAATAAAATACACATATGGTATATTAAATCTTTTTTTTTTTTTTTTTGATAATTTCTTAAATTCGACAGCAACTTTTGTTCTTAATTTTATTTTTTTTTTTGTTTTGTTTTAACTTTTGTAAGCCAAATAGGGTTACTAGGTTTTTAGTTCTAAGGTAAATTTTAAGTTCTATCTCAAGATAGTGCTTATGGTTTGAAGTACATTAAACTATGTTTATTTAGGTGTCTACCCATCTTATCTAAAAGGGTTGGTGAAAAGTATATTAAATGATTTTACCACTATTTTACCTTACATACTATTTTTCTCACGGTGTACCTATAGGGAGCGGAAGGTGCGGGGAAGAGGAAGAGCGAGAACACGCGACGCCAGCGCTGCGACATGTAGCCGCCATTTAAATTGCCCGGCAAGGCGACCTCGCCGCCTCCACTTGCCACCCACCATTCGGCCAATACCACCCCTGTCCCTCCTTTCCCCCTTTCTCCTTTCCCTCTTCCCCTTCCCCTTTTCCCTTTTCCCTTCCCTCCAAATGTGGGAACAGACCCGGAATGAGACATGCTGCCCTTGATTTGTGTGCACGGCATGTGGCGGCGTGTTGACTATTTGCATTGCATGTCCCCCCACACACAAACATACCAACACACTTGCACACACTCATGCTACTCTCTCCCCTCGCTGGTGTGTGTGTGTGTCCAATAATTTCGTAACATGGCCTTTGTGGCGATCTTTGCACAGCGATAAGAGAACTGGGAGGAGAACTCATTGAGTAGGCCACTCGCAACTCGTTTTTTGCTCCCTTTTTTGGGCCAAGTGTAAAGGCCTTTGGCGAGGACAGAACAATATCATTTGGCCCACTGCAACTGGCTGTCTCTGGCTGCCATTGTGCGTTTGTGTTTGTGTTTGCGTTGCTGTTGGTGTTTGTGTGGGTCCAATGCCAAGTGATTTGCATTTTTATTTGTGATTTCTTGTGCCTCCGCCTAATGACGGGGTAATTATTAATTATTCGACGCCACTGGTGACCCTTGAAGTGTTTTTGCTGAATAATTCCCAAGCGATTCCCGAAGCAATTGAATAGGTGCCCAGAAGTAGGATTGTCAAACTGTACTAAAACTAATACCTAATGTAGCTATTTATAAACTAAGTAATTTTTGTACAAAGCTTAAGGATCACGAAAAAAAGACGGGATGTATTCAACATTTATTGTGATTTTAAGAGGGTTTTGCAATTAACATTTACCGTCGCCGTCAGATTTAATGAACAACTTCTTTAGAAGGAGACATTGATGGTTTTGCATGGTTTTTTTTTTTTTTCAAAATTCATATTGTTCATTTAGGAACACAGTAGATATACGTATACATATTATTTTTGAGCATATTCAATATTATTTTCAAGTGACCGAATGTCTGTGATGCATTTTTGTAAAAAGGTTTTCCCGTATCAAATAAAATATAGCTTGAGACCAGTAAATTAATTATTGGGAAAATTTCTTAGCACACAAGTCAGATTACATATATGCTTACATTTAACTTTTTAAATTGTTGTTGTTACATCGTTTTTCATAGCAAAAGTCTTAGTACTGAAAATAAACTCTCTTTAAGAATCAATTTCTAAACATAAAAATTGAACAACAAGTAAACAGAACGTCAGTACGTTTTAAGGGCACTAAGATAGTGAGGTTTTGATAATCAGAAGTAGTTGCAAACTCAGAAAGTCTGGCAAGGGGCTTTCTCTAATTAAGCCGATTGCCTTGTTTACCAGCTGGTGCAGCAGCTGATTTCTTGGCTGCGAAAGTTAATTCAATTTCCACGAAGGCAGCGGGAGAGAGGGGAAGAGGGGAAGAAGGGGAGTCCTTCCTCGAAAGTAGGCTACGGAGGAAAGTGCTCGCTTATACGAGAAACTGCAGCAGGAGCCGCGACTCGCACACAACTTTACCGCAAGGGCTGCCAATTAGTGGAGGCAGCAGCAGTGGAGGCACGACCACACCGCCCACCACGCCCCCTGCGGCAGCGACCTTGAACTCGCCGGCAAATCGAAGCACGAAACGAACACAAAAGCGAGTGAAAGTAAAAGTTGCACGTGCTTCGTCTTTGCGGCTTTTGCCTTCCCACTTCCTCCTGCCACTTGCGGCAGCTGCATGCATAATGTGGCACCACTGGCAACCGCCCACCACCCACCACCCACCACTCACTACCCAGTGCTTCCCCCTATTCCGCGAAGGTCGCCACTGCAGGCTAGATGGCTGAAAAATCCATTAGGCCCTGTTGATGAACCTGGCCCACCTTTCCAGCGCTGACGTCACCGAACTCGCAGACCCAAGCCGTCTCTCCTTTCCTGCCTCTCTCCACTTTCTCCCCTTTCTCCGCTTTCTTGGCATTCTTGGCTTTCCCACCTGGCCATCTTTGTCTTTGCGGCCTGCATTTACTTATTTATTGAGCGCTGCGACAAAAACTCGCAAGGAACTCACACGTGTGTGCATAAGAATGTGGGCTAAAAACCAAAAAAAAAAAAAAAAACAAAGAACAACAACAAATTAAGAAAAAAAAGTGGGCGGGTCGAAGTGACGACGTCAGCAGCGATTTATTTCGCGACAGTTTGTCGTTCATCTTTTTTACGACCGCCGACTTTCAGATTGCTGTTGTCATTTATTTGCCGTCATAAACTTTCAATGGAATCACGCAAGCGATTTCTGCCAACTTTTCTCCTACTTATCCTTCGCCTCCGTCGCCTGCTGCTTTCTTTTATTGTTCCGCATGTCTGACAACATGTGACAGCGACAGCAGGCCTTTCTCCCCGTTCTAGCCCCCCTTGCCCACTTCCCCACTTCTACATTTCTCAATTTTAAACGAGGGACGCACTCTCCGCTCCCAACCCTTTTTCTATTAA